TCTAAATTCCCCACTTATTTTTTTTAAACAATACCCGCATGTCTGTTGACGGCCTGGCCACCGTGACGTTTTCAACGACCAGAATAGCACCAGACAGACATGACGGCGAGTAGGTATCCATCTTCCCACAGACTTTAAATATTTTTAATTTTAACTTATTCATTAAATAAACATTTATTATCCTTTACACATGTTTTTTCTTCTCTCTATAAATTACTGTTTCTGGTTTTATGTGTGGAAAGGTATAAATTTCTCGTTACAATATTACATTGTATACTGCTCTTTAGCTTCACCCGTCTGTTCTTTTTTTGGCATTTTTGTAGAAGAAAATGAGTGCCTTTAGTGTAAGCATGAACTATAGTATATCTGTTGAAGTACAATAAATTTCTTTATGAGCAATTAGTCTTCATATACATGGGATACAAAATGCAATAGTCTAACTAAATCCTTATTGTTTGAACAAGGTAGCAGAACCAGCAAATTTAAGGATAAATAAAAAATATAATTTTCACCTGAGTGTTTTTAATTTTATGTACAGTGTATTTTTTAATGGGTATTGTGTAATTTTAGAGTTTTTTTTAAACTTTCGCCCGTGTAACGCAGTGATAAGAAAGTCTGCTCTAGAGTTGCAAAGTAAGAAGATGATCCCTCACTGCTCGATGGCCCTGAGTAGTGATCATAGGACAACATTTGTGGGTCTCTGCGGCAAGTGGTAGGGGCACTATTTTAGTGAGAATTTCTCGAGAGGGATGTTTAACAATATACCATCAACATCAAAAATTATTCATTAAATGATTTTATTAGAATTGACAAATAAAGAAACAGATAGTGGTGACATTAAGAAAACTGTAACCAAGAGAAATTGCTTAAGTCGGTTTCCGTTTTACAAATTTTATTAAAACTCATAAAACTTAACATAATCTACAAGGTCAGGAGTCTGTGGTCCGAGCGGCTTGGATGTTGCTCTCCAACTGTCAAATATTCTCACATGACAATTAATATAAAGATTCCAAATATGCAAACAGTTTGACTTCTTGATGTCCAGGAGTAAAGAGGAAGATTTTTAAAAATTGCATTAATTATAGTAGTTTTGGCCACACCCCTCAGGCCCCAGGGGGGCAGGAATCATGAAATTCACAATTTTTGTTCCCCTTCACCCATAGATGCTTTGTAAATGTAGCTTCGTGTAGCGAGCGTGCGAGAAGCTTGTGAGAAACGTGCGACTTTCGTTTAAGAACCGTGTGAGAAACGTGTGACTTTCGTGCAATAATCGTGTAAGATTCGGAAGTCATCTCATTTTCAATATGGCTATCGATGGGTCAGGATGTCAATTTGTAATAGTATTTATTATTATTGAATTTTAGGGCATCGAATTCTATATATTTCTAACGCTACCATGGCTTCTTAATTTTTTTTAAAGAAAGAAAGAAATACCGGTATTTTTAATTTTTTTTTTATTAAAGCAAAATATATCAGATCTCCGCTCTTGTCTTTTCATTTAAAGTACGTGAAAGAAAGTTTTGAAAAGATTTGTCATTTAATGCCTTTTAATACATAAAATATGTTTCTCATTATCGTCAAATAAATGGATTATAATTTAGATTCACGTGCACTAATGACCACATGTTTAGAAACGGCGGGTGGTGGTCTTTTCATTTAAAGTACGTGAAAGAAAGTTTTGAAAAGATTTGTCATTTAATGCCTTTTAATACATAAAATATGTTTCTCATTATCGTCAAATAAATGGATTATAATTTAGATTCACGTGCACTAATGACCACATGTTTAGAAACGGCGGGTGGGGGGGGGGTTAAATTAAATTTCTAGTACAGTCTTTCATTTTTTGTTGCAACTTTCAGTCTAATGTTAGTTTTGTGCTAAATTTTCTATTCTTTTTCAAATCCTTTTGATAAATGTTTGCGCAGATTCACCCTTTAAAAATATATTGAAATCTTCTTTCGACTGTGATCAAGGTCATCTACAACAGAGATCACGTGCTCTGAGTGAATGAAATTGAAAACCTGTTTTGCTATATTTAAATGTTGAGTTCACGGCTTAATGACACTTGAAAATTTCTACTAAGTCTTATTTTATGACATAAAATAGTTCTATAAATATTTAATGGGTACAGCTTATATATCAGCGGATTTTATTTCTTTTATTTGTAAATCGTAATTTCTAGCCGTAAACAGTAAAATAAAAAGAACTGGTTTGGTAATCATATCATGTAAGAAAAGTTTAGGAGTAAATTATGAATAATTGTATATTACTTATTTTATAAATCGATCTACATTGTATGATCAAAGTATAGTCCAATACCGCGACTATTAATTAATGTATACAAATATATATACGTCTAGTCGGGTTTTAAAATCAAGGAATTAAAGTATGATGGATTTACTTCTGTTATTTGATAAGCTTCATGTAAAAAAAGAAAGAGAAAAATAGATTAAAAGATATCACATTTAACCCCCCCCCCCTCCTTATTTGTTTTCCTCCTATAGATACTGCTTATATATATAAGATTTTTTTTTATAAATGTATCAATAAACATTAGTAGAGTATATAGGCAAATTTGTTACTAAACCAAACTCAAGAAAAATTATCCGCCTAAGGTAGTAAATGTAATATAACCAATATTATTTAAAATCCATGAGTTTTTATTTCTGCAGTAAGAAATCGAATTTTCGCTTGATTTATTAAATTATACTGGTTAAAATATTTAAATGCAAGAGATATATTGTAATGAATGACTGATATACATGTATAGAAATTGTATTTTATCAAACAGTCATTCATGATATCGGCATTTCGTTTTTAACCATTTTGATAAATGAATAATACTTAAATTACAATTATTTAATAATTAATTACAACTGTCAGAGTATTAAATATTTGTTTATAGTACTAGTGCACTGATGTTTAATTGTGACCCCACTCTACCTCCCAGGTGTTTAATTTTGAAAATATAGAATTCACAAGAAAGTATCAGTTTGTGGTTCTGGAAAACGAAATTAATTGAATTTTACTTTAATATCAAAGACGCTCAGCATTAGCCATAACCTTTTTTATAAGTTATCTACTAGTCTAAGAGTACAGTAAAACTCGTTTTGTACGAACATGGATATAGCAAATTCACGGATATAGCGAAGTTTTTCTGGGCCCCCGGCAAAACTCTTAACAAATCTTTGTAAAATTTTACGGCTATAACGAACTCTTATATAACGAATTTACGGATATAGCGAACGATTTTGAGTCCCGTTGTAGTTAAATATAATTAAATTTACATATTTTATAACGAACTTTCAAAGATTATAAAAAAAATGATTAATTGAACTTATTCCTTTTAGCATTTATATATATAGGATTCAATTCATGAGAAAATCTTAGTTATCGAAGATTTTTCTTGCAATATGTGCTTCACTAACATGCATGGTAGTAATTCATCGTACGTTGTCCCAATCATACATATATGTAGGTATATAGTGTATGGAGAGATGACGTACTGGTAATGAATCATGTATAATACAAAGAAATTAACTTTATATTGTTTGGAAATATGACACACTACATATACTAATGAAATGAATAATACAAAAGAAATTACCTTTTATCTGGATTATAACTATGTATCAATTGATGTTTAGCATGAGACACAGCACGTGTCAATATACCCCAATAAAATGTGCTATGATTTTTTTCAAGTTTACCTCAGTTTACAATAGTATACAATAGTAATTTATAAGTCATTTATTAGTAATTGTAGTCATCTGTATTTAATACTTTGTCACTTTGATGTTTTGATTTATCATAAATCTTCAACCAAGAACTTTTATTAGATTTAATATATCTGGATTAAACACCATTGATGTTCTGAATTGACATTCTAGTAACAGCAAAAATTCAGTGAAGAACTCTCGTGTAAACATTGTTTTACGCAATACTTGTACTAATAAAAACACTGTATTTAATCATAAAAGTTTCTAACGTATTTTCTTCTTAGAGTGAGGCAATACAAATTTAATAAATGTCATTCATGTTTGGAATGTTGGGTCGTAACATGAACTGGAAAAAATTTAGTTGTTTAGCTTGAGAAAATTAATTTTTATTCATGTAGTAATAGACATATAAACACATCAAAGCTTGGTTTCCAAAAGCATTGGTATCTGTTCCATGTCTAGATATCCTCCGGTCAACCATGGTAAAAGAGCAGCCCGTCTCTTCCACTGAAGGAGTATCCCCTCTTCCTGTAAATTTATATAATAGGTTAAGTGAATTCTGATTGGTTATAAACCATAAATAATGATACAGGTTGTAAGTGAATTCTGATTGGATATAAACGATAAATAATGATATAGGTTGTAAAGTGCATTCTGATTGGCAATAAGTGATAAAATATTATATAGGTTGTAAAGTGCATTCTGATTGGCTATAACTGATAAATAATGAAATAATGTTGAAAGTGCAATCTGATTTGGCAATAAGTGATAAAAATGATATACCGGGGTAGGTTGAAAAGTGCAATAAGTGGTGAATAACGATATAAGTAAAAAGTGCATTTTGATTGGCTATAAGTGATAAATAATGATATAATAATGTTGTGAAATGCATTCTGATAGATAATAAGTGAACGATATAAGTTGTAAAGTGCATTCTGATTGGCGATACGTGAATGATATATGTAAAGTGCATTCTGATTGGCAATTAGTGAAATATATAAGTTGTAATGTGCATTTTGATTGGCAATAAGTGAAGTATGTAAGATGTAAAGTCCATTCTAATTGGCAGAAAATGAATGATATAAGAAGTACGTGCATATATATTGGTAATAAATGATTGATATAAGTAGTAAAGAGCATTCTGATTGGCCATACGTGATAAATGATAATATAAAATTAAATAAAAAAGTAACTTATGATACTTTGTTTATTAAATAGTATTCCACTAACTGAAAACATAGCATGCGTATATTATATATTCTTACTCCAAAGATTTCACAGCTCTCACTTCTTCTGGAAGTTGGTCCACATTTACTGTAAAATATTCTCATCATTGAAATACAAGTAAACATTGAATGAGTTTGTTTCAATGATTTAACGCCTTGTTATTATTTACGGAAAAATACATGTAAGACAGAAAGACATTTTTCTTTCAGAAATCTTCAATATTTCTCATAGATTTACATTTCTATTGGTAACCCGAATAATGATTTGCAAGTATAGTGGAATAATTTTTTTTTTAATTCTGTGAAAAAAAATATGTGTAGAATTTTGTATTGAATGATATAAAAAATCAGCAAAGTCTTTTTAGCTAATCAACAAGGAAAACGTACCATTTTTTTTATATTTCTAGGATTTCATTTTTATGTCATTTCAAATAAAAATCTGTGCATCAAATTTTTGCTTATGTTAAGTACCCTTATGTTAAGTACCCTTGGATTGTCTCTATCCTTATGACTGGCATGCAGGCAAAAACTAAATCAAATTTTTTCCAGGTTTTAAAGAGTTGTATTATTTGATTTGATTCTAAGACGGAATTAAAAAGTCAAAGATGAAAGACTGGAGATTGATTAATATCCACAGCCTAGTTTTGATACGGGAAAGAAAAGGGGGAGGATCTAACTTATATCAACACAAATGTGTGCTGATCTAGGAAAGAAATTATGAGGATCTAAATTATAACATAGCTTTTCTGACAGGAAAACACACTGTGTTGAAATAAAATGTCAAATTTTAAGTTTGAAAAAAGAAATTTTGCCGATTTTTATAAATCAAGGGAAAAGAGATAGAGAGCAAGAGAGGACTTAGATACTTTCAGATGATATTTACCCGGTGAAATCCCGATCGTAGATTTCTTTCTAAAAATATACTTTCTAGAGCCACCATTACCCCAAGCCGTGGAGAAGGACATACACAACTGCATGTAGATCTGAGGAAATAAACATACACATATAGATCTAAAGATATAAACATACACATATAGATGTAAAGATATAAACATACACATAAAGATCTAAAGATATAAACATACACATATAGATCTAAAGATATAAACAAACCATATAGATCTAAAGATATAAACATACACATATAGGTCTAAAGATATAAACATACACATATAGATCTAAAGATATAAATTCCCGTGGAGCTCAGTACATTTCATGATCTGCACACAAAAAAGCGTTCGATTTGCTTTATATTTTTCCTTATGTTGAAAGTATATAGATCTTCCTAATGTTCATTCCCAACACAACAGTATTGTAAAATATCAGAATTCGGGAATTTATAATAATTCCACATCAACACGACAAACATGAACAATTTGTAAATAAATCAAATTATACGGAAACACATTTCACACACCAGATATGATGCCATGTGTAAACAAGGGATTGTCTATCGTATCTAATTATGCGTCATTAATTACTTTCACATTCATCTTGTGCATAAAATCAAATTTATTTATGAATGTATAAATAATGTAATGTTAAAAATGTCTAAATTTTCGGCTAAAAGAACCCTCTTTCTCTTTTTTGAAAATCTTTTCTTTTTTATTTATCATTCAAACATTATTGCAGAATATGTCTTTAACATTTAAGCAGAGACAGTGATAGTTTCAGGAATACAGCTTATGAGAGAACATAGCTGTTGATTGTTTAATTTCCCTAAGTCATCAATATTTTACCATTTCTTGGCGACTTCAAAGGGGGGGGGGGGCTAAAGGCTTCTTGACCACCTCTGACAAAACACCCTCGACTGAGTTCTACATGTGTCCAAGAGACCTCTCTTTGAATGTCACGGTCGGTTAAACTCGGTCATATATTTTTAATCGTAGGGAAGATTTATTCATCAAATAAAAATCATATAAATTGAAGGTGAACAAAAAGCAACCTGTTATTTTCTAACACAAAATAAGACTACAAGTAACTGGAATTCATGCTTATTTTTAAACACATTTTTTTTTTATTATAGATGAGTATAAAGAAAAGTTATTGCCATGAATAATACGTATCATAGATAAAATAACTAAAAGAAAACTGTGACATATTGTCTAGAACCAATCAGATAGTGCGTTGTATTAGCGTATTATAATGAGGTATAAGATAGCGATATAAAAAAAAATAGAAGGTAAAGAGGTAAAATTTACCCTGTC